TTCTATCTCTCTCTCTCTCTCTCTATATATATATATATATATATATATATATTAAGAAATGGACAAGGTTCGACAATTTATTTATTAAAGACATTTTTTTATGTTTAACGTTGTTATTTTACAAGTATTTAAGCAAATGCTCTGTTTATGATAAACAGTATTAAATAACATTTACCGGCCTGAATGTCCGAGAAATTTGCTTAAATACTTGTATCTATAAAATAACAACGTTAAACATAAAAAATGTCTTTAATAAATATATATATATATATATATGTGTGTGTGTGTGTGTGTGTGTGTGCATTGTGTATTTAGGCAGCAATCCTTCATTTATGCATGTTTCCTTGAAAACGAGAGACAAGGTACTACAATTAAGATATTTACTTAATATAGACGCACACACTCAAATAAACTGAAAAAATAGAATCATCCTTGATAATGGCTAAATGTATAGCCGAAATCGGTCGGAATTATAGAACATCTGGACAGTTTCTACACACTCTGTGTCCAAAAAGAGAAAACACTTGTTCGAACACAAGAAAAATTAAATGAAAAGCTTAATCGTAGTACCTTGTCCGTCGTTTTTAATGAAACATTCATATATATATATATATATAAAATCCCGTAAATATAGCACACCTTAAAACTATATTTCTTCATATATTTATATATATATACTTTATTTTAGGATATTACATCGAAAAACACATCAAAATCGCTACATAGTTGCAGTTGTGTTTCAATGTGTGAACGCATTTCATCAGGCGATTGTAAAAAATATTGCTCTACTTTGTATTGAGCTCTCTTTTAAATTAAATGTTACAAACGTTGGAATTGTACTCTATTCGTTCTCATCTTACCTGGACACACAGACACAGACAGACAGACACACAGACACACACACACACACACACACACATACATACATATATATATATATATAGTCAAGAACAATTTTAGGGTATAAAGTATGACAAAGTGAAAAAAAAATCTTCGCGTGACGCGTTTCGTCCTTTTGGACTTGATCAGACTAAATTGATGTTTACGTTGATGCGACTACACTACACGTGAGCACAAAGGAAAGACAACATTAAATGTTTTTTTTTAAATATCTGATTCCAGTATATAGTCTCTACGATTTAATTTACATTCTTTTTCATTTGTTTATGTTTCCATCACTTTTGTTATTAAAGATCCCACATTGTAATATTATAAGATCTGTCAAGAAAGGTGAAATATTGTAAGAATCTGGACGAAAATTTACTGTAGGTGATCTAACGATTAAAGCACTTTCTAAACATTTTCGGTCTAGACGTCATGCAACTACCACTATCGAGGAACACATTGATCATGTTTACCATACGGTGATAGATAACAGGTGATTGACTATAAATCAAATAGTCAATGGTATTAGCAGATCCCGTGAGAGATTTGAAAATATTCTGCACAATGAACTTGGCATAATGACGGTTTCTGCTCACTGGGTGCCACATCTTCTGATAGCTGATCAAAAGCACAGCAGACTGATCACATCATTGGAATATCTGACATTGTTCGAGGCAGATTCAGCTGGTCTCCTTGGATGTTTCCTAACCTAGTATGAGTGTTGGGTTCATTACTTTGAGTCAGTGACAAAGAGACTATCCATACAGTGGAAACACACTTCATCATCTTCTCCAATGAAGCTCATAGTCGTTTCATCTGCAGGGAAGGTGATGGCCTCAGTTTGGGAGGGGGGATGCAAAATGTATTGGTTTTATTGAATATCTTCAAAATGGCCACATCCTCAATGGAAAGTACTATGCTGACTTCCTGAGGCAGTGACAAAAGGCTATCAAGACCAAATGCCCAGGAAAACTGACAATGCTCCAGCACACAAGTCATTGCTTTCAATGACTGCGGTGTGTGACTGACTTTGAACTGGAGAAGAGAAGGGAATCTTGAAGATGATCCAGGGTCTGGATGTCCTGCATCTACCAACACCAAGGCAAATATTGATTGTGTTCGCCATATGGTGATGGATGGCAGGTGATTGACAATAAATCAAATAGTCAATGTTATTAGCAGATCCCGTGAGAGATTTGAGAATATTCTGCACAATGAACTTGACATGACAAAAGATTTGCTTCGTGGATTCCACGTCTTCTGATTACTGGAAAGTTTAATATTGTTTGAGACAAATCCAAATGATAAGTGTTGGGTTGATCACCTTGAGTCAGAGACAATGCATGCAATGGGAACACCTCTCGTCACCTGCTCCAAAGAAAGTTAAGTACGTTTCATCTGCAGGAAATATGATGGCCTCAGTTATTTGGTACGCAAAAGGTATTTTGTTCTCAAAAGGGTCAAACCATGAGTGGAAACTATTATGCAAACTTGCTGCAGTAATCATGAAAGGCTATCAAGACCAAACGTCCAGGAAAATTGGGACAATGTTCCAGCATACAAGTCTTTGGTTTCGGGACTTGGCTATGACAGGTTGATCACACTCCATATTCTCATGATTTGAACCCGTCTGACTATCATCTGTTCCCCAACATTAAAAAAAAAATCTTGACTGGGAACCAGTTTCGCAGTGATGATGACGTCATATCTGTTGTTGATGACTTTTTTGACCAACAGGATGAACAGTCTTCTTTGAACAATCAGATATCAATTTACCTGAAAAGAAACAAAGCAGTTATTAATAAGAATAGTTGAAACTAATACATGCAAGATTTCACAGATTTTCACTGTGAACATTTAAGCCCACTCTCGTAGTAATAAATGTATTAAATAATAAACGAATTTCTCGTAAATTTGTGCAGCCTGTTCACAAAATGTGTCTAATAAGAAACGACATGTACAAATATGTGCATGTAGGATTGTTATTTATATTGTTGCTGTGAAACTGGAGTTGTTATTGTGATACGGCCCAATTTGTGCACAGCCAAAAATAATGCGGCTTTCAAGGAAAAAAGTTTACTTAATGATGGTATAGATCATAAAAGCTACTTTGCTTCAGTCGAATATGCCAGCTACTTTTCAATAATTTTTTTCCTTTGTATTTTATTTTCTGTATACATTTTTTAAAAACATTTTAATGATATTTGTGTTTTGCAAGTTCTACCCCAAAGGTTTATGGGTAACTTTTGGATGGATAACAAAACCGGACACATTAGGCAAATCCTCGGCATTGTCAGCCAACAAACAATCCACTTAATAATTAAGGTAAGACTTGATTGCGTTTAATCAAACAAAAAGGTATACTCAAACATTATTACATAATTATATATGCAGTCTTTTTTATGTGTCGTGTCCATAAAAATTTTTAGATTCAATATATTTGGATAGCAATTGTTCTTTTAAACATGTTTTGTTAAAAACAATAAACATTTTGTGTCTATTATATATATTGATCTTTTTTTTCTAATGTACGAATACCCTTTCGCAATTATATATTTTTATGGATACCACACGTGTTTCAGTCGGGGTGTGTTTTGGGCAAACAAGACCGATGGAGCCCAACCCTCTCTAGGCTGATTTAAATTCAAAATTATCCAACCAAGTCTATAGAGCCTAGTCTGTCCTGACCAGAATTCGAACTCGGCTCTCCGAGTGGCTATCCATTACACTACCACATCTATCCCTATAGGAGTAAATAATTTATGATTTAATATTTATGCCCATTTTTTTTACCTATAGGGTCACTTTATAACATATGCTATAGGCCCAACGCTAGCTTAATTCCACCCAGGCTTATACTTAGAAAACTTTGCAGTAGTTCTTAGTTTAGATAACTAACCAAAGATATTGCAATATTTTTGACTCACACAAACAAACTCATTTTACGGTTAGAATAGCTAGATGTAACCGTAAGTTCTATGCTAGCAGTTTCTTCTCTTACACTTCTCGCTTGTGGAACTCTCTTCTGACTTCTTGATTTACAGTCAAATTTGATCTTCAAAAATTTAAATACGATGTCAATCGTTATTTTCTGTCTTCTTAATTCCTGTTCCTTTATTGTTTTCTTTTCTGGTTTAATTTTATTATAATCTCTCACACTCAGTAACCCCTTGCGTCTTAGTGACTTTATTGCCTTGGTTAGAGTGAAATGATAAATAAAAGACTGTGTTGCAATGACGGCACTTGTTACAACAAATCACACCAAGCAGAAAATCAGTGTTTGAGAAATTAGTTTTAATCAAATTATCGGTTTTGTACAATTAGCAGAGTTTTTTTTTTTCTTATTACTAAAGATCACGAATATCAAAAGAAAAAAACTATTCAACCTTTATAGTGGAGTTCAATTTGCTATGCGAGCCTTGGTTAAATAAAGCCCTGAATATATATATATATATATATATATATATATATATATATATATATATATATAGGTGTTATGCAGCGTTACATCAGAACATGCACATACCCACTACAAAACTGTACACCTTATTTCAACGTTAAAAAAGTCTTTTTTAACGTTTCATCAGATGGGGAATCATGAAGCGATGTAACACTGCATAATAAATAAAAATATATACGGCTCTACTTTTGTATTGAGCTCTATTTTAAATTAATGTTTTGAATGCTGAAATCTTACTTTCCGTTCTTTCACATTTGGGTATATATATATATATATAAGGAGACGAGAGGAGCCGCAAACGTTTTTGGTTATAATGTGGATTTTTTAAAATATATCTTATACTTTCTTTTCCATATATTTTATATCCACGCAACAAAAAAGAAATCCTTGAAAACTAAAGTAGCAACATTCGAAAATACTCGAGAAAAAAAAATAAAAAGGAAAATGAAAATTTGTAAATTTACCGATTATATAAAATGATTAATTCGGAAATTTGTAAAACTTAATAAAAAAATTGGATAGACAGAATTTATCGATATCATTCAACCAAACATAATTGAAACCTATATATATATAATTTTATTCAATCTATCTATCTATATATATATATATATATATATATATATATATATATATATATATATATAATCCTTATTCAATATATATATATAGAGAGAGAGAGAGAGACAGAGAGAGAGAGAGAGAGAGGTGGAGAGGGAGAGAGAGAAAGAGAGAGAAATGAACAGACTGAGATAGATAGATAGATAGATAGATAGATAGATAGATAGATAGATAGATAAACTTCTCGTCAGGTTAAGAGAAATTTATTGAATTCATTAACAGATCTCATGGTTACATTTAATTAATAAATTCAATAGATTTACTTTACCCTGATGAGCGGTATATCTGCGAAACTTGAAGTCAGAAGCTAAGTGTTTTGCACTTTTATTTATTTCTTAACTATTGTTCTAATGTTTGTTTGTTTTTATCGAAAACTTATTTACCAAAATTGGCTCACCTTTAAATGTGTTAAACTGCCGTATTTTAATGACCAATTTATTTTGCTAGGCGTCTACAATCTTTATTATGTCTGTATGCATTTTTACTCTTCTTTTTTTTTCTTAAATGTATAGGCCGAAGAAATATCAAGAAATCGAAGGTTTATAACAGCCACAGTAATGATTCACATTGATACCCTGCCAAAACGAAACTGGAAAACTTTTAAAGAGACAAATGATTTAACATTTCTTCAATCTAACAATTCAAAAGACATCCTGCCTTCTGATTGGCCATACACAATTTGGTCAGCTCAAAGTGTCTCCATTACAGTGTTATTTATTGTTATCGGCGGTTTGCTTCTGCTAATAATGGCGATGACAGTTGCACTTTTCTTTGCTTTTCACGGACGTAAGCAACGAAATCAAAATGTTACATTTGATGACAGTAGTTCAAATAGTACCACCGGAGACTCATCAATTGGTAGTCGAGACACAGTATCCACTAGTGGTGTCAGTACAACAACCTCCAATATTGATTCTGATAATCATGACGAGCTTGGTTCTTCGATCGAAATAAAAAATCCTGAGACTCCAGTAACGCTTGAATTTTCTGATGTGAACCAGCATATCTTTGAGCCAACAAGGTCTAATTCCATGTCTTTACCGGTGTCATCGTCACCAAGGTTTTGTAAGTGTGTTCTGAATGGAGGAACTCAACGCAGTGCCGGCTACCAAAAGAAAAAAGACCGAAAAACTTCCAAATTGAAAAATATGCTAACTTACTCAAATCGTAAAGTGACAAAACAAAAAGACGAACGTGGAAGATTCAATTTTGGAATTGAAAATCATTGGTTAGACATGTCTTATGATTTTGACTGAATTTATTGTGTTCTGTATTGTGTTGCTGGAAATTGTTTATAACTTGTGGGATTTCTATAATTGTTTTATATACAATTATTCCTAATTTACAAAACTACCGTAATGATTAAAACTTATACCATTATTCATCAATTCTTTCGCAATAACTGATTCTTCATGAAGTTTGAGAAAATATCACCCACTGTGTTGTAACAAACGAAAGAGAAAATCATTATTACGAATGAGTAAGAGGCTAATGATAAAGAAGATTGCCAATTTTTTTCAGTCTGAAAACAAAAGACAGAACCGAAATTATGATTATACTAAATGTAAATTGTCGTGTTTTACGGATTTTATTTGAAAAACGAAAAAGACACTTTCCATTATGCTGAAATAACAATGGCAGTGATTTTATAGCAGGTCCCCGTCCTGGGTATGACGATAAACTACATCCGTATCCTGGGTATGACGATAAAACTACATCTGACAGCAAGGCCTTTGATTAGTAGGTTTTGAGGAGCATGGAACCACCTCAATTGCTGTTGTTCCTGGGGTGGTAGCACCTGTCAGGGTCCCAGCTATGGGTCCCACCAAAAGGGTCAAAACGCGATGAAAGTATAAAAATAGGTTTTAATACCAGCAATACATTTTTGAAAAAAAATATTACCAGTAGTACATGTAAAAAATATATTACCAACAATATATTTTTGAAAAAAAATCACCAATAATAAAAATCTTGTCGGCATTAAGTAACCCATTGAGATTGATATGCCGTAAACCAAACCAAATCAAACCAAATATAACAGGTCCATTTGTTTTGTAAACAAACAAAAAAAAATGGATATCACGGTAGAAAAAGACTTTAAAAAGGAAATGATTTAATTTACGTCAAATGCGGAAAACTGAAGTTAAAGATCTGGAATGTAAATTATATGAAATCCAACAAAATTGTTCTAAATAAAATGAAATAGAGCTTGAGGAAACTTGAGCAAAATTCCTTACAAAACACTTTTGATTATCTTTTGTTGTGAATGCTTTCAAAAAAATAAAGAGAAGAAAACAAATTTGAATGTCATCAAACGGTCAACAATTTCAGAGAGGAAGTCAAAAATGTCTGGAAATAGTTCCAAAAAACATCGTATATTTAATACAAATAGCATGAAAGTATTAGAAATGGCGTAGAAACCAAAACAACAAATAAATAAATAATAAAATAAACAGGAACATAGATAAAATGGCGGAAGTGGGATTTCCTCTCTTAGACCTATAGTCACGTAACTCTAGTCACGTGGTACGAATATAAAAAACAACTCGTCTTCAAAAATCTTTCTTTTTTTTTTCTTCTTTTTCTTTTCCGTGAACAGCTGCTACTCAGCATGTAAGTAATTTTTGCCACGACCTCCATGGGTAACCTCCGCCACTTTTTGCTTGTTCTTGTTTATTTTATTTTTATTTATTTTTGTGATTTTGGTTCCTACACAAATGTGACGGAAACATTTTTTTTATCTTTGGAAATTAATCAAATTTGTTTAAAGTAAATGCAAATATTAATATCAACCATATTGAAAAAATGAAACAGATATCTCCTACATTAAAAGAGAAAAACGGGGAATGGTATTTGTATTGAATTCATGATGACTTTTTGGCACTATTTTCATTAATAATGATAAATAAATTAATACCCCATAAAATTTTATTTCATTTAGAAAAAAAAAAAATGCTATAATCCGTTTGGCTTTTATTTTTTAGCATAAGATTCCAAAAGTTATTTGAAAACTTAAAGTGTGGAGATTACACCCACTTTGTCTATGAAGATGCTGTTAGGTGGCGCTGTTTAAGGACTGACGATTTTCTTTTTTTCCTCTTTTCAATATTTTTGTATATATGGATGTTCATACACGACATTATCCGAAAATCAGTGTTAACTATAAATTAAAGAATTTATTTGTAATTTTCTAACATTTCTTTAATGAGTGCCTTCGTATGTCTTTAAAGCCATATTTCGGTTTTATAGTCTTACAAAGACACTTGTCTAAAATTCAATAAAAGTATTAGAATGGTTAAAATATTTTAAATTTTTAAGATGAGTAGTTAAAAATTATCTAAAAAAGGTACGTCTATTGTATTGACATGTAATTTTACTACAAGTATTCACCCCCACTTATATAAATATCACATTCTTCTTTGTGCCGTGTCCCTTCAGGACGTAGTCGACCATGGCTCTCCACTTCCCTTATCCCTTGTAGATCCCAATAAGTTTTGTCCTTTTGCTACTACCCCAGGCTATGTTCTGTCATTCACCTGCTCAAGCCTGCTAGGTATGTCATGCATTGCTTTCCCTTGTCTTTCCCCCTATTCAACCTGTGAATATCAGATTCTCCAAGACCTCTTTTCTCATTATGTGTCCCAGAAATATCATCTGCCTCTTCCTGATGTTAAGTATAAGCTTCCTCCTTGTTTGCATCCTCTCCAAAACCTCATCGTTGCTCACACTCTTGGCCCATGTTATCCTTAGCATCCTTCTGTAGAACCGTACCTTCATTGCCTCAAGTCTCTTCTTCATCTTTGAGGAGACTGTCCAACATTCACTGCTGTAAAGGAGGACAGATGTCACATAGCAGATCAGTACTCGTTTCTTTAGGTTATCAATAAATGCATCAACACCTCATAAAACCATCCACTTCCATGTTAAAAAAAATGCTTTTCTGCAATATTTTATAATAAAAGTAATATTTGTTTTAATTCAGATTAATTAAACTTTAAATCAGTTAATCTTCCTCAAATAACATTTCATAAAAGTATATTTTATTTTTGAAAGATTTTTTATTAAAAAGAATTATGTTGACAGATTTGTCAATATGCACGATTTTATTGATTAAAAAATTCTATCCAATTTAAATTCGGTTTGAAATACAGCAAAGTATTTTGCTTATTGGAAATATTAAATTTAATCTATTAATCTACAGAAAGATTTTTCATTTTTAAAATGTATTTTAAAACTTCGGTATCACTTTTTTCTTTTTTTTGGAGGTACCTATAGGATATAGAAATATCTATAATATAGTTCTTAAGCTAAAGATTGTGAGACTTTTATTTACTTTTATATTTATTTTCCTCTCATTTGATGACATTGTAAAATTTGTTCTGATCAATAAATCTGTCTTCATTGACAAAAAGTGACACAAAAAGAAACTTTAAATTGGGAAAGATTGGATGATTTTAAGAATTTCAAACCATAAAGACTCAAGAAAGAATTTCAAACAATAAATACAGAAAATAAAAGATATTTAAATAAAAAAGAAAAACATTACAAGAAAAATTATTGTTGAAATATCTAAATTTATTCAATATTGCAAAATTTTTCTTGATAACTTTGAAAAGAATCATTCACATTTCCAAACTTTATTAAAACTGAATTCTTCCTTTGTCTTCTCAATGTTATTTATACATTCTTAATGATCCAAGTCTTCAACCTCTGTCAGGTGTAAAAGCCATAAGAAAAGGTCAAAGGAAACCTATAAAAAAAGTCTCCACCACACCACCCAACCCCACCACATTCCTTCCTAATTACACACCTGATGAAATATGAATACCTCAGTCCAAAAAGTGGAAATAACATCAGGTATACAAAGAGGAATGCAAACTGTTTTTTTACCTTTCAAAGCACTGATTATCATTTCCAAAAGGAAGATGCAGTCATTTTTTTTGTATAATTTTCACTTGTCTTTTTGCTGATTCAGTAATTTCTCGTTTTTTTTTTTACAAGGATTCAACAGAGAAAGATCTGACCTGACCCTCTGTTAGTATTATGGGAAGTTTGAACAACCCACAAAATACTTTTTCTTAATCTTTATCACTCTGTATGTGAGTTCATTTGCTGTACAAAAAGTCTATCCTGCCACTGAAGGTGACTGATCCCTGAACAATAGTGTGTTTGAATTTCATAGTTGTGTTGTCATATCCTGGCATGGCAACAGAAAACAACTTTGAGTGCAATTAACAATAAGGATAATGCAATTGAGAGGCCTTGAAAAAAATGCAGTGGGAAGGGAAGTTAATATTTAGCTAGTGGCAAGTTTAATTTTTTTCTGATTAGTCAAGTAGCTTTCAAGTAACCACAAAGAATTTCCAAGCTTTAGCCATATCTATGTGAATTATGTTTTACTTGGTTACTGAAAATAAAATTAAACTTAATTTTGCATATTTTAATATTTAAAACGTACAAATTCATTTTTTAATATTGGCTTATTAACTGCATTTTTCAAAATCAATCATTTTTTTTTTCATTTTTATTTATCCGGTAAATCCAAAAAGAACACTCAAGACAATACATTATTTACATTACTTGGACTCATCTTTGTCGCCATATTTATTACAACGTTTCGGCCGTTGTATGTTCCGGCCTTCTTCAGGTGGCTGGAATGTCGAACAGTCCAATCACCTGAAGAAGGCTGGAGAGTACAACAGCTGAAACGTTATAATAAATATGGCAACAAAGATGAGGACAATAGTCCAAATAATGTAAATAATGTACATAATACCTCATCTCAGAAATATAGACAGATACTCAAGACAATATATAACAAAAACTTAAGAACTAAATGATATATTTCTAATATTTTAAATAGAGTATTTCAAAACAATGCCCCACAGTATTAAGAGAGGGTTAGTCACCTAAATATTGAACCCTGATTTTCACAAGCCACACATGAAATGGGGAAGTAATTTAGGCATCCTTAAAAAAATATTTAATTCTGGGTAATTTTTTAAATAAAATTTGGAAAATATTCTAAATAATCTAATGATAAACAGAAATTTCTAGGTTTTCCACAATTTCCCTTAAAATTTCTATAAATCTTTGAGAATTTTGAGAATCATTAATTACAAATGTCAATTTAATTAGGTGATCCTACGGGCGATCCAAAGTTGAATCCATTGACAGGGCGGATAGCAACATTAAAAAATTTAATCTGTTCAATTTGTATTCGGCAATTCTTTTTTCTAAACAAAATGAAGACAACAGTTTGTGTTTGATCCTATTTGTAGAATGCATTAATTGCTCTGCCAATTATAAGGCGTCGTACTTCACTGGTACCAGCACCAATTTCATAAAGCTTAGCATCTCTCAATAGCCGCCCAGTTGGATAATCATTGATATAACCATTTCCACCTGAAATTATAACAACAAATTCATTAGAAATGAAGTGGAATATATTTTCAAATTTAAACTTTACTTTATTGTCTCCATTCTTTTTAATCTTTTTATTTTTTTTTAACATTCATAAAATATTCATTTAATGTATTAAAAAGAAAAAAAAGTATGCATAGAAATGAAATTAAAAAAACAATTCTTCTTTATTTCTAAACCTAATAATTTTTTCAAGTTAACTGAAGACAATAAAATATATTTCAATATTTTAATATAGTAAAAAATATATTTTTTATACTTTATTTTATTGAGTAGACAGAGCTTGTTACCCTTGGCTGGGTAGTCTGTCTCGGATTGGGATCACTCTGCTTTCAAAACTGGAGTAGAGAGGACTGGAAGATTTAGGACCCACGAACCTTACTCCCCCACCCATGAGAATCCTGGAATAGGTCTGTGTTGAGGGTGGGGGATGTCTAGCAGCCCCCCATGGAGAGTCAAGTTCTATTTTCCAGTTCAGTTCATTCCATTCATATGTGCAATTACTAATGGAAAAGGTATGAATCCATTCCTTGTTCATTTCTAAAACAAATAATTTATTTTCTAGTTAACTGAAGACAATAAATATATTTCAATTTTAAACATTTTAATATAGTAAAAAGCACATTTTTTTTATATATTTTATTTTATTGAGTAGACAGAGCTTGTTAGCCTTGGTTGGCAGTCTGTCTAGGAGATGGATGACTGATTTTAAAACTGGAGTAGAGGGGACTCCTTAGACAACTTAATGACAACCCTTCAAAAAAGAAAACAGCTTCATCCTCATACTGAGAGTGGATGAGCTGCGACTCAGTAACCAGCTTCAAAGTAATAGTTGGAAGAGAATTTGGCACCCTCCAAATATATATATATATTTTATTTTATTGAGTAGCTTGTTAGCCTTGGCTGGCAGTCTGTCTAGGAGAGGGATCACTTTGATTTCGAAACTAGAGTAGTGTGGACTGGAGAATTTGGGACCCACTAACATTACTCCCCCACCCATGAGAATCATGGAATAGGTGGGTGTTGGGGAAGAGGGGTCATAATGGATAGCGGCTCATAGAGAGTCAATTTTCCAGCTGAGTTCATTCCATTCATACGTGCAAATACTATTGGAAAAGGTATGAATCCATTTCTTCTCTCCCAGCTATGGGTTAAATAGCAGAACAGACTGGGTTCTCTAACTGTGGTTGGTAACTAGTGTAGGAGAAGGATAACTCTGAACACAAAACCATAATGAGTGTTCATGTTGCCCAACCTACAGCAATCAGGATGTGAAGAAACAAAAAGTAAAAGTAAAAATATATTTAAATTCCACAAAAAATGTTTGATTCCAACGAACAAAAATACATTAAAGGTCGATTTTTTGTTTCCTTACCAAGTATTTGGATAGCGTCTAGTGCGACTTTTGTCCCTGCTTCTGCACAATAAAGAATCACCCCTGCACAATCCTACAAGGGAGAAGGAAAAATTCCTTAAGGTCAGGTTAATAACATTTAGCATTGTCATAGACTTTTTAAAATTCTTCTGAGTGTCTCAAAGAACAAAGTATGCAAGAAAATACTTTTCAATTTATAGCTGATGAATATACAATTCTTGACACACATTAATGAAAATTGGGGAAATTATTTAAAATTATTGTTTAAATTTATTTTATTACATGCTTTAAAAATATTAGGTTGGAAAGAAACTCTTGTCAGATTTGGAGATGGAAAAGACATGCTTCTCATCTTTTAATTGATAGACAGGATACGGCAGAAATACTTCCCACATACAACTGCTCTGATGAGTTTTTTTACCTGATACTCCGACTGCATCAATTTGTGGCAGAGAATACCTCACTGAAACAAGAGAAGGCAAATTGTCTGTACATGTGCTTGTAGACATCATAGACCTGCAAGGTGAACTTCGGCAAATCAATATTGAAGTGACACAGCACATGCATTATCAGTGAGAACAAGCAAGAGATCTCGGTTTCTTGCCTGAGACCGAGGAAGGATAAAAAGAGCTGACTTTTTTTCTTCAGGGGCATTTTGTTCTTTGAGACTGGTGAAGGTTATACCCATGTTCCAGAGAAAGAGCGATAATACTGTTGTTTATGGTGTGCAGGAAACAGAGTCCCGAGTGAAGCATTGTTCCGGTTTCCATGTTAGCTGTCAGCAGGAACAGATTCGAATGGAAATTTATTTTACCTACCACCCAATTTTCATTTAAATCACACACAATTTAAGTGTGCCACTAAATTGGCATCTAAGTCCCACCTGTTTACTTATGAAATAGCTAAATGCAACCACTACTCCAACAATTTCTTTTTTCACACTTCCCACCTGTGGAGCCCCTTCCCGTTTACTTGCTTTCCTGATAACTACAATCTTCAAAAATTTAAATATAACGTCAATCGCCATCTCCTGTCTTTTATGAATCCGGTTCATTTTTTGTCCTTTCCTCAATACTCCCTATTCTCAGTTTTATCTTTCACTTTTACTCTCTGTAATCCTCTATGTAGTAGTGGCATTCCCACCTTGCTTGGTGTGAAATTATTAACAAAATTTAAATGCAACATCAACTGCCATCTTCTGTCTTCTTGAATCCCATTCATCTTTTGTCCTTTTCTCAACTCTACCTATTCTCAGTCTTTTTCATTTTCATTCCCTGCAATCCTCTGCATACTAGTGGAGTTCCCCCTTGCTTGAGGTGAAATGATAAAAAAAGAATTATTGGTAAGACATTGTGGCAATGGTGTGTTCATCTAGCTAATCTGGGAGCTATTCTGCCACACCCTGTATTCAATCAAGATAATATTTCCTCTCACTATCAACATCATCATCCCATCTATTTGACAAATTGTTGATCTTTTTTATACAAAGAAACACTCAGTATCATTTTTTACGTCTTCACAAAAGTGTTTTCTTTCTAAAAAATGTTGCAATGATCTGGAAAGATGATAGTCAAATGTAGCAAGATCTGGAGGATAAGGAGCACAATGCAAAACTTCCATATTTAGTGCTTTAGGTGATTCAGGGTAACATTCCAGGAATTTTAAACTGAACCTTTTATTTTATCTATGGGAGCTGATTTTTCTTGTTCTGCTGCCCTTGTCTAGTTCTTATTTAGTGCTGCTCAGTTATTGCTCACTGTTTCCAACAAGTTCAAGTACACATTCTCTAGCTTCAACACTCTAATTACTATGTCACCAAATCTATGAACAAATGCTTTAATCCACTAGGGACAATTCTAAGTGGAGAACTTGGAGCCTTAAACCTAACCTGCCTGCTGATGAGTTACTTCTTTTGCTTTATATATTAGTAGCTCCCATATTGTATTTATTTCTATGCTAGGCCTACTAAGGAGATCCTCAAAGCCTAGCATATGTACTGATTCTTTCCATTACTGCTCTCTGTCCAGTATTTTTACTTCATTCCACAGGGGTTGATGACTACCCTTTTCCCTTCATACATGATCAGCCATTCCCGATTTTATTGTCTCACCCCTAATTACAGCTGTTTGATGTTCTTCCAGCTAGGGAGTGGCTAATTTCACCCTTATATTTTTGCCACAACTACATGGGATGGAGTACATACACTTCTTAGTCATGTTCTCATCTATCTTGGGCTTAACTCAGTAGAATATTGTTCTGATATTGTATGGACCACAGATCTGAATTTCAGACAGATATAGAGAATCCACTTTTCATCACTGGTGATGATTCTACTCAGAGAAAGGTTCAGTAGAAAATCAGCTCTTCAGTGATGAGCAGATGGCAATTGTTTCATTAGGCTGAGAAGCAGTCAGATGATGAGAGAACAATTGTCCAAGTTTTTCTGCATTCATGAAGGTGTTTTAGGATCAAAGTGTGACTTGTATTGAACTGATTTCCTAATTCTTATGCAGTATGCATAGGAATTTCCTCTATGATTTTCAGAGGGTCAACTTAATTGTCCAGAACACTTTTGACTGAAAATGTCCAAAAAACATTGGCATGTCTGGACATTTAAAGCTTCATTTGTATAGATAGAATTATTATTTCTGGCCACTTTCCATTGCTAAAGAGCTCATTTTGAATTCATATAATATACAGTGTCTGATATGGGTCTGATCTTGATGTAATGAATATGCATGCACCTGGGTTCTCCCTCACAGTAATATAAATAGAGACTGATGTGGAGGTACAAGACGACGCCTATTGGCTTACGCCAATTGCATACCACAAGGACGAGGACCAGCCCATTATGGTTACTTGCTAGATTGTCCTACCCGGTTACAGTAGTCAACAACCACTTTTCTACTTCAAACAAATATATCCCTTTCCGGGACATATCAGATCTAAACTAATTTAATATGATGACGGTGGGAAAGTGGCTGAAGCCGTGATGTTATCAGTCCTAACCTGGCATCTCAGCTTCAGCCACTTTCCCACCACTGTAAATATTATCATGACAATTGTTTTGATGAACTTTACTCTATGGTACCTAGACTTTATGAATTTAAGTGCAGTATTTGATTGGCTGCAAAGTCTCCTCATTTAACAGTCAAAATGGCTAGATGCAACAATAAGTTCTATACCAGGTTCTTCTCTCCCACATCTTGCTTGTGGAACTCTCTTCTGATTTCTTGTTTTTCAGTCAACTTTGACCTTCAAAACTTTATGTGCAATGTCAATCGCTATCTTCTGTCTTCTTAATTGTTGTTCTTTTATTGTTCTCTCTCCTTTTTTCT